AGCCAGCATGCTGGCTGGGGAATTCTGGGAGTTGAACTCCACACATCTTAAAGCTGCTGAGGTTGAGAAACACTGACCTAGAGACTGGGATGAATACACTGAGATGTTCTGGAAAAAGGGGAGTGCCAAGAGATGGGAGACAGGATGTGGTGGAAGTTCTCACCACGTTGTCCACCCCCAAACTTTGCAGAGTTCACACATCTTATGATTTGCAACTAACTTGCGTGCCCAAGGAGAATCTCATGTGAACAATGGGAAAGGATGCAGATGTAGGACTGAGATCAAAGTACTGTGCGGAAGGGCTGAAAGAGAACTCAGGTTGATAGCCATTTGACAAATGATTGCTAAAAAATGATAGATGTATGATATACCAATTGAGTCATTACGGGCCCTCTGAACTGCTTCTCGGATCTTTCCGTCTTTGACCTGGGTGTCCAAAGCTTCCTTGTCAACCTGTAGTAGACAGGAAGAGAAACCTGGTTCACATTTCATGCCAAGGAAAATAAATCCAGAAGAAACTTCCCAAAAGAATCTGGGCTTTAACTGGTATTTTCAGGAAGTGAAAAGCTGAGACAAATAAAGATAACAAAATAATCTAGTCTTTACTGATAAATTAAAACTAAATAAATCACTAGAATTACACTGTATCCATTAAACAGAATTTTAAAACTCTCAAATACAAAACTATTGAACTTTTAATTAAATTATGTCCTATATATCCAAGATTGGCTTTTGTATTTTAAGGAATGGAAAATAGTCAATGTAATGCAAGGAAACTATGGGCCAGTTAAGTTAACATGCCAGATAGTTAATAACTCTGATGGAAAGAGTTATTAGAATCTTAACTTATAAAGGAAAAACTTTGCTAAAGAAGTATCAACACAGTCCAGCCTCACAATTCTTTTTCAAACCTTCAAGGGTTGACAAGTATATTGTACGGATGATCTAATAGACATAATTTAATGAGGGTGGTTTCATATGTCACATGTGGTTGGGTTACTTATGGAAAAACCAATGTGGTTAGTTCATAATTCTGTGTATTATATAACCCCAGACAATTGGATTCATTCAGTAAACCATGGTCACATAACCCATACATCAACTTGAATAGTCATTTACATAAATAATAACATTAGACCACTCACAAGTACAATAATAAATTCATCTGATAATTGACTAAAATTAAATCAATGTTATCTTCATAATTGTAATGTATCCCAAATCAACAATACACATACAGTAGATCTTTTTCCTCTACCAGATTTTAATTTGATACTAGTTTTTGTTTTCCACATAATCTTACGGTAACTGTGTTTATCTCTTATGCTAATGAGCCCATTATGGCAATGCTTCACAGACTCACAAAAGAACATTTGTCTGATGATAAACTGTCTTAGAAACTCAATAAATACATGAATAAATGAATGAATGAATAAATAAGAAAACGTTCATATTACTTACAGGAAATATAAATTTCATTCAGTGACAATCTATCAAAACACTAAACCATTATTTGATAGAAAATGTAAACAGGAATTAATTGTGGCCGCAAATAGGCATGCATGACACTGCTTTTCTGTCTATATCTGAATAAGTATTTTACTGCCAAGTTGGAGGACTATTTCAAAGTTAGAGTACATTTACAATTTTTTTCCATATAGAATTATGTAAACAGATTTCATAATATTTTTAGAGAACGTATGATTAATACACAATTGTATGCCAAAATTTTAGGTGTCCCTGGTCAAATTGTGTATTTGCGCCTAAGCATGCATTCAAATTTTCAGATGAATGTTGTGTTTAACTTTGCATTTGGTTCTATTCATTTAGGAATTCCTTGAAACCAACAGCTTGATCAGGAGTGCCCAAAGGCTTGTTTAATAAATAAATTTTAAAAAATAATAATGAAAATAAAAAATAAAAAAACTGTGTATATTTATGTAAAATTAGTCTGAATTATTACGTGGGTGTGGTATGTTTTTGCGAAGGGAAACTTTCTTCCTTTCTCATTTTGCAAATAAAATGGGAGGAATGAAAATTTATTTATTTATTTATTTATTAATTAAATTTCTCCCCGCCCATCTCCCTCCAATGGGGGGGCTCTGGGCGGTTCACACAAAACTGTTGCGTGAGGTCACGCAGCTGGCGTTGAAATAATACTACTCCGCGCCAACGGATTAAATTTAAATTTAAATTTCAGTCAGGAAATCTGAAGAATTACAGAGCCGCCTACCCCGATGGTCCTGACGCGGGCATCAAAGATCCGGCTTTGCCTCTGCAGCTCCCGGTAGCGCCTCCGCTCCAGCGCGGCCCCCTCGGCCCGGGAGTGCATGGCCGGCCGCAGCAGGGAGGACGAAAGAAGATGCTCCGCGCCGGGAACCAGGTAGGACGCGCAGCATCCCGGCGCCTAGCAACGGTCTCCACAACCCTGGGTTGCTGGGGGAGCAAGCCACGCCTCTTCCCCGTCGGCCCCGCCCCCTCCCGCTCGAACGTGCGCCGAGCTCTCGAGGCTCTTCCGCCCGCAGCTCCCGTCACCATAGAGATGGAACCAGAAGGGCTATGCTAGAGCGACCAGGGCCTCGAGTCGGAAGGCGGGGCGCCGGGAAGCCCGCCCGCCTCTTTGGAGTCTCGCGAGACTTCCTCTCCCCTCAAGCGTTGCGCGAGACCGGCCGAGTTGGCGGGAAGGGCGCTTCTCCCTCTTGGAGGGCGGAGGCGACTACCTACGCGTTAAAATGTATAGCCTCCCCCTATAGAAGCGCTTATATCTCATCCCTCGGGGGCTTCTGGAAGGGGAAGGCAGTTCTCCGCTCCCCGCCCGTCTTTTTGCACGTTTAAAGCGCCCGTCCTAACGTGGTAATGCCTCATTAATCGAAATTCTCCTCAGCCGCGTCGTTCACGGCCCCTCCTTGGTTTCCTTCCCAGCAGTTCTTTGATTCCCTCCCCCCTTGAGGGCGAGCTGCGTTAAATCCGCCTGAAATAAATACCGAAAAGACGCCCTGAAACGTTTAAAAGCCACCGGGCGCTCATTGAGGATCCCGGGTGGACCCCCAGATACGCCCCCAGAAGGCTGATAATATTTCATCCCTTCTAGAGGGGGCTACGCAAACGGAGGAAGTGCTGTAGAGCCTCCATGTTCAAGGGCAGTATTCCTTTAAATGCCAGGGGACAAGCTGAACCTGGAGGGAAGTGTCGGCTTGAAAACAAAAAAATAAAAGGGATCTAGATCCACCACAGTCCTGGCTAATCTGCACTCAGGGAATCACCAACCTTTACCTATTTGTGCCTTTCCTTGGTAATTACTGCTTAAAGACAATGATCTACATTTTGTGTTCCAAATACCCTCATATGAAATATCTTCGTTTCAGCCAAGGACCAGGATGTAATAAAACTCAGTAGTGTAAACAGGAGACATACACTGTATATAAAAAGAATAAGTGGTTAAAATTAACTAGGCATGTCCATCAGTTGGCTGCACATTTTGCGCATGAGGTAGCAGAATTCAGCTACTTTTAGAGCAACAGATTAATACCTGGAAGTAAAAATGAAATTAAAAAGTTGGGAAATTTGCTTACCATGTGGGGTTATCAACTCTGGTTGTGCCAGCATAAAACAGGCAATATACGAAGTATTCTTATTTTGTCTCGATTATCAATCATGGCAGTGTTTTCCCTCCCATTTCTCATCCACAGATGGGGTATTTAAAGCTTTTGCTGGTTGAGAATTTCAAATCCTGGCGGGGACAGCAATGCATTGGGCCGTTCAAAAAATTCACCTGCATCATTGGTCCCAACGGTTCAGGTACTGTGTGGAAATGAATTATAGCAGTTCCCTTTGGTTAGGGGCCCTCCCAGACTGTTCATGGAATTGCTTTCCTTTTACATCCATCCCTTATATATACAACACCTTTTGTACCTATTTTATCTTATGCATGGTTGTATTTTTTCAGGGTATTTTTCCCCCCTGCTAAACAAGTTGTAGTATTATGTAATTGCCTTGTTGAAAAGCAAAAACGCTTTGGATAAGTAAAATATTATTGATTAAAGGGGAAGTACCGGAACTGATTAAGCTGTACAAACAGCTATTTAATCTATATGAAAGTGGGACTGTTGGAATGGGCAGAAGGACATTAATCACCTTGTACAGGAGATGCCATCCCATTGGGGAAGGAGGAGGAAGTACTATGTGTTTAGAAGGCATTTATTATGTCCACTGAGAGTTCCATTTGTGTGTGTCTACAGCAGACAATATGATACCTATGGGCTTCAGCATGCCCCACAGACCTCTCTTAATGTCCACCTGGCTCCTTATGTTGCCTAATCTTTTTAAAAGATTATTTTAATTAAAAACAAATTGGAAGATGGCCTTTAGCAAAGCACCAGTCACTGGCATTATATTTATTTGCAGGAATACTCTTGGGCCCCCCAAATATCCTACTGGGATAGTAGAGAGTATATCAGGTGCTAGATGTCTTGATAAAGATCACACCCACCATGGCAGTGCTTCTGTAGCTTCCAACATGTTCCAATATGTTCTCCAAATTCCAAAGGCATTCGCACCAAAAATGTTGCCACTCCTTCCTTCTAGATTAGCACAGACTAGAGTTTAACTACTAACCTTTGTTAAGGTTCATCACTGTTTGTACCCTCTAAAATTACAAAAAGGCTACCTGAGACTTTTCTAAAATAGAAATGAAAACTTTGAATTACTGTTTATGGCCACCTTTAAGAAAGAGTGGAGTGGTGGTGAAGAACCGTGATTTAGTGTAGAATCTGACCCAGCAAACAAATTATCGAGATGGTGCAAGCAACTAGGGATATCTTGGTGTAGGGAGAATCAGTGAAAACATTTTCATGAGATTTAAAATAGTGATACTTGTAATTATGCTAATCTGCATCTGTAAAAAGCCATTTTAACATTTTATGCAATTAGGGAAATCAAATGTAATGGATGCCCTTAGCTTTGTAATGGGTGAAAAGACATCTAATTTAAGAGTGAAGCACATTCAGGAGCTGATACATGGGGCACATGTTGGAAAGCCAGTTTCATCAAGTGGAAGTGTAACAATGGTGTATGTAGAAGAAAATGGGGAAGAGAAAAGATTTTCAAGGATTATTCGAGGCAAGTACAGTTTTTCTAAAAATTACATATTGTGAAGGAGAAAGAAAACAACTGGTTATGAAGACAGTAGCATTGTTTTGTTCAATTAAATGGGGCAAACTCATGACACAGGCTGTTGGATAAATTCATATTTTAGAGAGTCTTGGGATGTCTTAGCTGTCTGGTGTATGATTCTCTAAGCATACTGAGAGAAGCAGGAAATCTATGGATTGGACAATATCAAGCAAATTGTTGGGAATAAAACTGCAAAATATACATTTATTAGGGATTACCATAATATTTCTTAAAGGTATACACCAAATTCTTTTTTGAAAAAATATGTAACATAAAATGAATACTCACAAATATAAGATAATATTTTCCTATCAAAAAAGTTATATGTTATTTTTCAGAGACAAAATGAATATATCATATTTTATATGATATACTAAAAGTTTTTTAAATAATAAATTATAAACAAGTGAAGTTCAGGAAGTGAAATACAACAGAATATTAGATACAAAGCAAAATCAGCTGCTTAACATGCAAAAATTACAATAGGCGTAATTAACTATAGTTTTAAATATGAAGTAAAATACTTATGATGTGCAAAATTTGCAACATCTAAATTCAGCAGTCCAGCTAAGCAACCAAATTAAACTACTTGCAACTTATACTAGGATAATTTTATTTCACAGTCTAAGATCCACCAAGAAGTCTTTATTTATCTTTAATCTTTAATTTTAATCAAATGAAATATTTTTAAAAAATGTAAAAAAAATATTTTAAATATTTTGTTTTCATTGGGTTTCTGTATTGTATAATAAAGTGGCAAGAAGCATATTTAATCTGTAAACAACTTCAGGGTATAATGAGATCTCTAGTTAAGGGGTAAAAATATAATTGCAGAAAGCCATTTCTGGAAATAGTCAGTTTACAGCTAATGTTTTACAAAGAGAATATATTCCTTATTTGTCTCCCAAATGTGGATTTGTGTACATTGCTTGTGTACATTTTGCAAAGTGGATGAATTGGATATTAACTTTTTATTTTGTTGTTTCTTTCAAAATTAGGCAGTGGATCTGAGTTTCTTGTTAACAACACTGCTGTCAACCGATCTATGTATACAAAGGCACTTGGGGAAATTGGCATAATTGCAAGAGCAAAGAATTGTCTAGTTTTTCAGGTAAATGTTTGTGCTCAAAATGTAATGTAGCATAAAATTAAGTGTTCATATTGGTAGTAATACTTTTAATCTTGATCCAAATCATTAGAAGAATGTGGGGGATAGGATGGCCCCTCCAATATCTTTTTAATCTTGCAGCAGCACATTTGCGGCTTTCAGGTACGACTGTCACCTGGGCTAGAGCGTAATTATGTCTGTTGTTCCAATTCCCTTCAAGGAAGGGCTAGATACTGTGTATATCTTTCCAGTTTAAAAGTCTCTTTTGCACTGTAGTTACTGTGGTGGCAAGGAGTTCCTTCTACCATTTTATTTGGTATGCCAAGTATAAGCATTGCTGGAGAGGGATAGTTAAGTCACAATGACTTCTTGAAGTTACTTCTAGTAACTTCACATTTTGATCTGGAGTGTCTCTTAGGCCTGGCCTGGCCTGGCCTGACCTGGCAGCCACTGCTCACACCAAATGGAGGAGTGAGGATTTTGTGAAAGATTCCTGGCTCTGCCATAAAAAGTAGCAGGAAAAGCTACGCTGGCTGCCAATATGCTCTTGAGCAAGTTTAAGGTTTTAGTATTTAGAGTTTTAAGCAGCATGGAATGAGAACATCTGAGAGATCTTCTCCAGTGTCAGTCTGCCTGACTGCTCCTTTCATCATCAAACCTTCCCCACCTATCCCCATTGCCCAGGTTGAGCAAAATACTGTGAAGAATCATTTTGCAGCAGGCAGGAATAATTTTTTTTAATTGTATTATCCTCCAGAAATGTAGCGTGAACCAGGATTGTAACAGTTTGGATGCAGGCTGAAAGCATTTTTATTTGTATTTTAGATCCATAGTGATAATGCTGGTTATTCTGTGAATTGAGTCCTATCATTTTTATATAGAATGAAATGCATCAATTTATTTTAACATCATAAATTGCAGAACAGGAAGTATGTAAATATATTGCTAAATAATAAAGGTCCATTATTCTATAAATAAAAAAGAAGAAAGGTCACAGAGTTCTTATGTAGCAATCTATGTGTCATTACTTCCTGTGGCTGGATGCATCCCAGGATGCAGTGGCTGACTACAAATCGGAGCTCCTCGATTGCCTCCTAGCCCCATTGCCACTCTCAGCAAGGAGCCAAACATGCACTTTTCAAATATATAGTTTTTTACCAGTTTAAGAATGTTATGGTTCTACAACTCCAGACATATCTGGAAGATATTCATTATTTCCTCTCATATATGTCAGTATTTCATCTGGGATAAAGGACTTTATTCCAGGATTTGGACAGGATGAGCTCAGTTTTTAGTGTTATTGATCATGGTAATTTTGGAATACCTGGCAGAATTGAGCTTCTTGAATGATGTGTTATGGTGGGTATGGGGGTCTTTCAGCTATTTGTTTAGAAGGCAGATAAAATTATGGAAGGTAAAATTAGAAACAATGTAATTTTTTATTATTATTTAACTCCACTTTAGCCCTATCTAAATTCCTAAGTAATTAAATCCATGGAAGTTTCCAGCTATATAGTAGTATGGCCTAAAGAATAAATAAATAAAAACTTTTATAGCTCTACAAACTGTGAGCATTTGCTCTGTATTATAAAATCCCCTTATACATCTCTGTTTAGTTAACTCATTCGGTTAACATTTACAAGACATAATTTTTGAAATATATCATCAAATTTCCCCGAGGATGCATCTCTCTTTCTGGGATCTTAAATGTACTGTTTTTATCCTTAAATAATTCTTGAAACAAAAAACTATCTTTCTCTGTTTTATTAAGAAAAAAAATTATTACAGATTAAAATTGGGAAAACATATCAAAAGATTTAAAGGTTAGTTTATCATAGCACAATATTCACACAGTAAAGCTATTAACACATTCCTGTATAAAAACTTGTAAACTCTTGGCTTAAGAAGGCATGTAAGAAGTTGCTGAGCTATCCAGTGTGGATAATTGAAATGGTTTTAACATGAGTTTCCTTTTTATACTGTTAATCTAATGTTTACTTAATTGTTCATATCCCATGTTTGAAAGGAATTTATGAGCAAATAATCTGAGAGTAGAATGCTTTGTCAATACTGTATTTATTTTCCTGAGATGGATTTAAATGATATGTTAGGGATATTTAAATGAATGATATGGATTCCCAGTATCCAGAATAATGTATGCTGTGTCTTCTTTAACAATTTTTTCTGACACTAGACAGGATTTATGTATAAGACTCAAAGAAGAAATTTATGACATTAACACCCTCACATATGGCCCTTCCTGGCTCTGAGTCCTATTGATATAATGTCATCAAAGAAGTTTGGGTAAAGAATGTTGGTTGTTTTCCGTAACATTGGTTGTTAGGGTCTTCTTCTCAGAATCCTTTTCATTTTGTTCAACTTCAACATTCTAAAATAAACAGAGTAATTATTGTAGGGTGAAGTTGAAGCAATTGCAATGAAGAAACCCAAAGAAAGAACTCAGCTTTTTGAACAAATTAGCAACTCAGGAGAGCTTGCTGCTGAATATGCAGAAAAGAAGAGGGATTTGCAAAAGGCGGAGGAAGATGCGCAGTTCAGCTACAACAAGAAGAAAAACGTTGCAGCTGAGCGCAAACGCGCAAAATTAGAGAAAGAGGAGGTAAATTCAGAAAAAATATTTTTGGTTCTTAAATTAGTATGTGAAATGAAATGTTTCTGTTTTCAGTGGAAAATCATGGTTTAGGTCAGTTTTTAAATTAAGCTTTCTGATATTCTCATAAGTATAAACATTGAAGAAATAATGCCATGATATGACTGTTAATTTTCCTGCCTTATTTTGACCATGTTATAAATAAAATGGCATTACAGGAAAGATTTCATGGTAGTACTGACCCTTGGTCAGAATTTTTAAAAATTGAGAATATTTTGAATATTGGAGAACCCAAAATGCTAATAATTTCATCAGAGTCCTTTTGAAATTTGAACATTTTTAAGGTAAAACAGCTGGTCTGACCTTAGGAAAAGTACACTAATGCTGTTTCAACAATATTGGAAGTGTTCTTAACTTGAAATGGAATTCAAAACTTATAAATGTTTATTGAGTTTTTGAACTGAAATAAGTAAGAATACAAGTAAGAATAATTAAGAATAAAGGTAATTCATTTCATTTAACCTATTAGTGAAGAAGCTGTACACCCTAGCAATGGGTTGACAGAAGTTGCAGCCAGTTCACCGTCACATGTGAAACTATATACCTAAAATAATTAAACTCAACAATAGAAAGAAATAAAGGGAGGGAGGAGAGCATCCTATTTGTTGCTGTGTATTCTATCCAATATCTCCAACTCTTATTAAGCAATTTTAACAATTATATAACAATGTAATTTAAGAATATTACGGTATAGAAATGTTAAGAACCCACATTGCTAAGCCAATCACTAATATGAATACAATCCTTTCCTGTGATATATGCCTAACGTTAATCAAGACTAAAATTTCTTTGTTATAAGATAAAGGAAAATGATAGTGTTGAAGCTTGGATGAAGACCCAAATGTTTAACACAGACATCTCGTGGAAAGGAACAATTCCTTTTCTAGTCTCTAGCTGAGGCTCTGTCTCTAAGATGCTATTAACCAGTTGACTTTAGGAGCAGAATATGTAGTACAATGCAGCTAGATGGCTACCCAAATGCCTTCCAGAGAGAATATTCTTGTCTTTCAGGTATCTGTATGGGTCTCCTGATGGATGTACAGCAAACTACTAATACTAATACAAATGTTAGCAAAAATATGAATTTCAACTCTTTTTATAATTGAAATGCGTGTACTTAACTCACAACTAAGATTTGCTGTTGTCTATGAGTTCATTGCTAATCATTTGGCTGATTATAGGCAGAACATTACCAGGTGTTGTTTGAAGAACTGAGAGAACATAAGAGGCAGTTGCAGCTTTTCCAATTGTATCACAATGAGCAAAAGATCAACTTTCTCAATAATAAAGTGGCTGAAAAAAATAAGGACATTGATACTAAGAAAAGTGCTGTTTCTCATGCCGAAGAAACATTGAAAGCCAAGAAATCCGCTTTTGGAATGTTAAATAGAAGCAATCAGCTCATTGAAAAAGAAATTAGGTAAGTGCATCTAGCAATCAAGGTGTGCCTGTTATCCATTTATATTAGAAGTTTTTGAACTTTCTCAGAACAACCTTTTTTGGAAATTGGTAAATGTGCTCCTTTCTAGGGCTCTAGAAGATATACTGAATCGAAAGAGGCCTCAGTACATTAAAGCAAAGGAAAGAACCTCTCACCAAATTAAAAAAGTAGATATGGCTAAAAAAAATTTGAGAGATCATATGAAAGAGCAAGCTAAACAAGAAGAAAGCAAAAGGGAATTGGAGCTGGAACTGACTGATATTGATAAGGCTTGGAGAACATTTGAAAAAAGGGTTGAGGAAGAGACACGACATCGAGAAAGAGAAGTTTTGCTGGAGGAAAGTCAGGTAAGTTTCAAGGCAAATTAAAATTCTATATGTAATATTCAAAATAGCAGATTCAGGGTTTAACTTGGAATAGTTGTAGTTGCATACTTAACAAATCAGAAGTTAATGGTTTGTTATGCTCTTCATTGCTATGCTATGTGTTAATAGTGATCTGCGTTGCACTGCCTATCTACAATGCAGATCTGCACTGAGAGAGAGAGCTGTAGTGGTTAATGTGTTGGGCCAGGAGTGGGGAGAACTAAGTTCTAGTCTACCCTCAGCCATGGAAACTCACATGGTGACTCTGAGCCAGTCGCTTTCAGCCCAGCCCATTTAATAGGGTGGTTGTTATGGGGAAAAATAGGGCGTATGCTGCCTTGCACTCTGGAATGAAAGGCAAGATATAAATTTAACAAATAAATGCTATAAGTGTGTGTGTGTGTGTGTGTGTGTGTAATTCAGTCTTGAATTCTGAATGCTCAGATATGACTTTTTCTCCCCCCCTTTTTTAAACTTTGATCTATAATTGGTTAACTATTAGTAAATCTTCCTAAAAAGTTTATTCAAATGAACGCCTGTCCTTAAAGCTTGGAAGACTCAACTAAAACTCAACTTGGGATTCACTACGCCCTGCAGAAGATATCTGGAAGAATATATTACTTTGCAAGTAATAAGATTTAAACAATTTGAAGAGGAACCAGAGAATTTTGGGGAAATATGCATAATAATGGGGTAGCTGTAATGCTAAATAGGATAATCCAAAAATAAGACTTAAAATTTCATACCCAAATTGGATTGCATTATGACGTAACAATTAGCATCACATCCTGCCAATATTATCATGAACAAGATATATACCTCTACAGCAGATAAAGATGTTGCAATAGAGAAATTCTATGAAAAGTTAAAGCATGCTATAATTCATGTAAAATATAATAATAACAATCCTAATGGGTGATTTCAGTGCAAAAATGGCAAATAGGAAGATCTGACAAGTAAATGTTACTTAAATCTTAGAAATGAACATGCTGAACCATTTGTAAAAGTCTCAAAAGGAACAATAATACATTCACCTTAGATAAATAAATTACCATTTTCTGTGCATGTGTGTCTTCAAGTCACTGTTGACTCCTGGTGATTGCCTGGACTAGTCCCTGCAGTTTTCTTGCCAAGATTTCAGAAGTGGTTGGCCATTGCCGCCTTCTTCCCATGGCCGAGAGAGAGGGACTGGCCCAAGGTCGCCCAGCCGTCTTTGTGCCTAACTAAGGCAGGACCAAAATTCACCGTCTCCCAGTTTATAGCCTGCTGCCTTAACCACTACACCAAACTGGCTTTCAAATTACCATTTATAAAACTATGTACTTGGATATCACCTGCAGATACTAAAAAACACATTTTCAGAATTCAAATAGATTATATCATTAATAAAGATTAATAGTGTATTGGATATAAAAGCATATCTAGAAGCAGTTATAATAGGTTCTAATCATAATCCAGTAGTGACAGAAGTGAGGATAATATTGAAAATCATCAAAAGGAAAATACTGGGATTGCAGATCCAAAATTTATTGTAGAAGTAAAACAAGATATAGTCATTATGAAACAGGTGGAAAGAAATGTTAATATATTGTTAGCTCACCCAGAGTTGTGAGAACAAGATGGGCAGCCGTATATGGCTATATAAATTGTTTAAATGAATAATATTTTGTTTCTTATAGTAATATGAGTATCTCTATATTGAATGGCTATTTGTTCCATGTGTTATAAATGCTGAATTTTTTTTAAGTCAAGAATTTAAGAACATGTTATAAATATCAATGTTGGATTGTGATTTAGACAATTTATATTATTCATTTAAGGCTGCAATCCCATACACATGAGGCAAGGTTTGTCTGCTTGTGTGCAGGTAAATCAGTATCAGGAATTAAAAGAACTAGTACGTAGAAAAGTAGCCATATTAACTCAGCAACGGGAAAAACTGCTGTGGGAGCAGAAGGCAGATATGGAAAAGATGTCATTTGATCAGCGGAGACAGAAAGAAACTGAGGTATATGTAAATATTAAGCATGATTTGGGAGCAAAAAGCAGTGTTCTAAAAATAATGAGCTCCTTTTTTATTTTGCGTGTGTATGTGTGTGTGTTAATATTTTTTCCAGAACTGTATAATTATGGCTTGTCTTCTGGAAGTGAAAGGGAGGTTTTTATAATTCCAGTTTCACCAACTGAGAGCATCCCAGGTGTTTCTTTCATCATTCCCCTTCTGTCTAGACAGTTATGGAAAGCTGATGAATGTAAGCTCTGTGATGATATAGAAGGGCAGGGTTGAGAAGGCTGCATAGCGTTCTATGACAGCCTTTCTATCCTCCCAGGATGGGAATTGTAATCAAACACTAATGAAGGCATCGGGGGAGTCTTACCTGTATAGTAGGAGAAAATAGTTTTCCTTCAGTGATGGAGTGGGTTACTACTTGCCTTGTAAGTAGGGCTGTGTGGATGACTTCAGATTTAGTCTTGACATCAATATCTGGGAAAATCCTAGCAGAGATAATTAAGTAACGGGTTTGTAAGAATCAGTTTGTTTAAAATAAGTCATAACAGACAAACTGTATTGCTTTTTTTTGACAAGGTAACTAGATTAGTAGATCAAGGGAATGCTATAGGTGTAGTGTGGTAGACTTCGGTAAAACATTTAATAAAGTTGACCATAGTTCCTTCTTGATAAAGTGAAACAATGTGGGATGGATGGTCCCACTAACTGATGGATTTGCAATTGGTTGAACAGCCGTACCCAACATGTAATCCTTAATGGATCTATGTCTACAAGGATGGGGTATTCAGTGGGGTACCCTGAGGTTGCATCCTGGGGCCAGTGCTCTTTCAGTTATTTATAAATTACTTAGAAATTTGCAGACACAAAGCTGGAGGGATTGCTGTCACTTCAGAGGAAAGGCTCAAGGTTCAAAAGATTTTGATATAGGAACATTGGGCCTTTTCCAACAAAATGCAGTCCACTGGTGAGAAATCCTGGGTTCTGCACTTAGGTAGGAAATGAACAGTACGAGATAGAGAGTACCTGGCTCAGGTGTAGTACTTTTGAGAAGGATCTGAGTATCCTGGTAGACCACTGATTAACCATTAGCCAGCACTATGCAGCAGCTGCTAAAAAAGCCAGTGCAATCTTGGGCTGCATCAACAGAAGTATAATGTTGAGATCACAGAAAGTAATAGTTTCACTCTGTGCTTCACTGATCAGACTGCACTGGAATACTGTGTCCAGTTTTGATCACCACAATACAAGAAGAATGCTGAAGAACTGGAAAGAGCGCAGAGAAGAACAGCAAAGATGGTGGAGGGTTTGAAGGCTATTATATACTGCACAGTTAAAAGAAGTGGGTGTGTTTAGCCTAAAGGGGAGAAGGCTAAGGGGAAATATGATAGCAGACTTCTGATATTTGAAGGACTGTCACAGGGAAGAGGGTGTGGATTCATTGAGGGTAGAACAAGAACCAGTGGGGGGAAGCTTTACAGAGGGAGATCCAAATAAAGAGGAATTTCCAGATTGTGAGAGCTATGAAGCAGCAGAGCAACGTGCCTCATGGAGTTGTGGGGGCTCCATCACTGGAGGTTTTCAGACAAAGCTTGAACAGGTCTGAAGATTCCTGCTCTGGCAGGGGGTGGACTAGAAGATCTCCAGGGTCCCTTTCAACTCTGGGATTCTAATAATGGTATTAGCAGGATAGTATTTTCATATATATATTTGTTTCCAGACTCTTGAAGTTTAAGATGAAGCTGAGTATACACAGATTCACTAAAACTTTTCCAACTTTCTGTTGCAAGATTCTTTGCTCTGTCTATACTAAGGATTAAAATTGAGTTCTGTTGTGGGTTCTGCTGGAAGTAAGTTTAGGAATTTTGCTGTTGTGATTCACAAAGGGATAAGCATAAGCTGGAATGAAATCTTGCTAGTGTTTTTGTTTCCTTGTAAAAATCTATATAGGCTGGACGGGTTTTGCAGACTCTATAAAGTTGGTGGTTAAGAGTTCTTTTAACTTTTAAGAGCTCAGTGTGCTTACAAAAGTGCTGTGTTGTTTGAATTGGAGAGGCTTCTTTAGTAATGTGCTGGGGAACTGTTACAAGAAATACTGGAGAAAAAGTGCCCAGCACCTATGCCCTCCACACAGTCCTTCCTCTGACTAATGTATTGTGATATATTATTGTTCTCAGTACATTGTGGAAAAAACATGGCACTGAGAACAACCACCACAAAAATTCATTTCAGTCACAGACCAACATAAAGTACAAACAAGAAAAATTACAACCATTTCAATAATTCCACTGAAACCTATAAGTACAAGATAACTAAAAGCTAGTGTTGCTAGCACAATACTATAAAATAAAACACTAGAGTCTCTCCTTAGAAGTTCTTAGTATTAATACTAAAACTATAAACTAAAGAGGGGCCTCTGAAGGCCAGAAAAAAGAAGTAAAAACAAAGATTAGGAAAAAAAATTCTCAATAAGTTTACCCATCCCAGTACTCTTTTCTATTTGAGAATTTTAATTATTGCCAGGCAAAATCTAGCTACCTTGTATGTAACAAACAGTTCCTTATCTGAGGGGATAAAATCAAGAAATCTTTCATTATAACCTATAACATACATCAGTAAAGGAAGAATTGTTGTACACTGCCCAGAGTTGCTTTTGGTGAGATGGGCGGCTATAGAAATTTGTTTAATAAATAAATAAAAAGAATGATACTGAGAAGATTTTGTTTCTGTGGTAGTAAATTGAAAAACATTTTATGAGAAATTAAAAGCAATTTAATAATGATAATAGTCATTTAAAAAATTCACTAAAATCCTTTAAAATCTCATATATGTAAAATCAATTAGTTTTTGTAATGTATCTTACTACATACTTTTAGGAAAATATCAAGCATGTCATAGAACAGATAGAAGATAATGAAAGAAGGACGGAGAAGCTTGTGGAATACAGCAAGACATGCTCGTATGTATTTATAACATTTGTTTAATAATTTCCTGCACTAAAACAGGCTTTTATATGCAGATCTTGCTGGAGTTTATTTGGTTTTCCATATTACTTACATTGCTGTCCAAATGGATTATTCAAGAACAGCCTGACATACAGTAAGATCTGCATGGCTGGCATATCCACAGAAATTCTGGGATGATTTCCTTATAATGGTACATTATATATGACCCACCTCCTTCAGGTTATTTATCTAGGTATTGAAACAATTTTATATGCTGCACTAATTTCACAAAACTCAGATATGCATCTCAGTTTAGGACTTGCAAATTAAGAGCCCTTGACTTGTAGGCGCTGACCTTCAGAATTTATTATAACTTTGCTCAGTTGACATTAAAGTATTTGTCCAACTGTTCGTTGTTTTTTTTACTTTTTGGTTTGGCTTAAAGGGAATCTTTAGTAGAAAAAAAGCAACAGGAAGAAATGCTGACAAATGAGATTGAAACTTCAAAGATCAGAATAGCCAAAATAAATGAAGAACTGAGTAAAATTATTAGTGATTTGCAGAATGCTAAAATTGATGTCCATGAAGGGAAACGCCAACAGAAGAGAGCAGAAAATTTGGAGAGCCTCAAAAGATTGTATCCTGATTTTGTGGTAACTAAATAGACTGATTCTTTTAATTTGACTTCAGTTCATTTACAAATAGATAGTTCTTTTACTTGTACATCCTGCTTGGTTACTTGGTAATACTGAACACTATTCAAGACAAACTTCAATGCCAGGGGTGGGTGGGTAAGTGCAGCCAAGAATTGACAAGACAGATTAGTAATATTTTTCAATACAAGTTCAACCAGGGTTCCCCAAGGTGGTCAGTATCAACCCTCAAGGCCTATGGGACTATCCAAGGGGTTGATTATTATTGTTATTGTTAGTCATTAGTACTATTAGGTAAAGTAGTATTTATTGAATTATTTTCATATAATATATGTTTGGGGATCAACGAACAATCTGAAACTTCCTGAAGAGTCGATGAGCTGAAGAGTTTGAGGACTCCTGGTTTAAGCAGAAGCAAACTTTCAAGCAAATTGATATCAATTTTTTTATTTATATACAACCATACACACACACACATACTGCTACTCAGCAGAAGCTAGCAGTTTACAATTATAAAAAATAAAAGCTAATTTCTGTTGTCAATTAATAATATTAAAATACTATCTATTGCTGATGCCTAATTAGGATTATCCATTCTAAATAAGTTACCTTCCTAAATGTGGGGTCACCCTGATCTGGGGGAGCAGACTGTTCCACACTGAGGGATATCTGCCACCCTGACCTCTTGACACCTGATGTCTCCATCAAGAAAATAATGCAAGATTTATGTAATATGAAGTAATTTTATGTAAAAGCGTGAATATTTTCAAATTTATTCACTATTCTTCTTTTAGTTTGGAAGACTCGTAGACTTGTGTCACCCTATCCATAAGAAATACCAGCTGGCTGTCACCAAAGTTTTTGGCAAATACATGACTGCAATTGTTGTGGCGTCAGAAAAAGCAGCTAGAAATTGTATTCGTTTCCTCAAGGAAGAAAGAGCTGAGCCTGAAACATTCCTTCCTCTGGATTACCTTGAAGTAAGCTGTTTAAAGAAAACATAGTAATATCTGTTTAATTCCATATCTCACTCAGAATCTTTCATGGAAAGTTCCTAATATTTTAAATTTTATTCACCATTTATTTTCTTCAGTGTATTCTGACATGAATCGTATAAGTTTCATGTCAGAATTGAACACTTTGTATTGCCATTTTATCTCACTAGCCTTGCTTTGGTGTCCATTGTCTAAATCTATAGTTTTCTCTATTTTCTTGTACTTCAAATTGGTGTGTTAATAGTGAAATGTACAACAGCTTTTCTTACATGGTTTTGTTTCTTCAAGTGTATTTATTTAAATATTTTATTCTGCTTCACTAATGAAAGACACTCAGGTCATTTTATCAGTGGCTTCTGTCTAGTTTTGTCCAAACCTTTTTATATTTAGGTTGAACCAATCAATGAGCAGTTGAGAGAAATAAAAGGATCAAAACTGATGATAGATGTCATACAAACATCTTTTCCTCCACTGAAGAAAGTTATTCAGTTTGTCTGTGGAAATGGCCTTGTATGTGAAACAGTAAAGGAAGCAAAACACCTAGCATTTGATGGCCAACATCGAATGAAAGTAAGTACTAGACAACTGAGTTTTAAAATATAATTTTAAAATGGTCTTTAATAATCATTTTGCATGTTAGACAAATAGGCTTTGGCTCTGATGGAATTATATCATCTGAAAATACATTTGGTACATGGAATGATGGGCTATCTTTGTACAGCTAAACTACTATTCGAGGTTTAAATGCTTTCCTCTCCTGTGCTGGCTTTTAGAAATGGCAAAGTACTGAACTTTCTAAGTGCTGTTGTTCTGAAAGGGCTCTTACATTAGCGACAGGGAAAATGGATGTTTTTAATTTTTTACTTTGAAACATTCAGTTTTGGTTAGCCTGGATTAATTCATAATGGACTGAAAAGTTTGGTAGTCCTTTAAAATACGTTGTAGTCCTTTAAAAGCATTTAGGTAGTATTTGAAATAACAGGTAGTCCTTGGCAATGGAGTTGTTGGTCCCACAATTGGGACCAACAACTCCATCGCCAAGCATGAAAACATCACATGACCGCAATGGACTTAGGACTTCACTTCCCATTTGGTTGTTAAACGAGTCATTGCGGGTCATTATGCAAGACATCGCATGACTGTGACTTGAGATTTTACTGCTGGCTTCTCCTTGTTTGGAAACTGGTTAGAAAGCATGCAAATGGCGATAACGTGATTGCTGGATGCTGTGACAGACATAAACACCCACCAGCTGAGAAGTGCCTGAATGTTGATAATGTGACTGTGGGGACACTGCAACAGTCGTAAATGTGAGGACTGGTCATAAAGTTATTTTTTCAGTGCTGTCGTAACTTCAAACTAAACAGGGAAGTTGTTAAGCGAGGTCTACCTGTACCCTGATTCTGTTGTGGGTAACTTAAACTCTAAAGCCAAATGTTGGATAGTCAAGAGGCTTTTATTCTAAATGTTGTTGCTGATTGTATTCTCATACATCTCAGTAGAGTGCAAACATCGAAAATGAATATTTTGTAGAGATTATCAACAATACGTGTGTCCCGGAACCAGTTTGGTGTAGACGGTGAGTTCTAGGCCTCCCTTAGGCATGGAAGGTGGCTGGGTGACTGTGGGCCACTCTTTCTCAGCCCAACCCACCTCACTGGGTTGTTGTTGTGGGGAAAATAGGAGGCAGGAGTATTAGGTAAGTTTGCTGCCTTGTGTCATATATAAAAAAGGCGGGATAAAATGGTGGTAGTGGTGATGATGATGACGATGATGATGCAAGTACCTAGTTATCCTTTAATTTTCTGTTTCTGTTTTTGTTTTTTTTTTCTTATTTTCAGACAGTGGCTCTTGATGGAACTTTGTTTTTGAAATCTGGAATAATTTCTGGGGGCTCAAGTTATTTGAAACTGAAGGCTAAATACTGGGATGAAAAAGAAATAAATGGACTTAAGGAACGAAGAGAGAAACTAATGGATGAACTGAAAGTAAAGCTATAAACTTTTATATTTAGCACTGTATTCTAATTAAGAAGCCATTCAGATTCTGATAAATCTATCAAAATTAAAGTTTCGGTTTCACATAATTATTTTTAAAAATTGTGATACTTAAACATTTGAATACTTAATAAATAAGTTGTTTACTAAGTAGATTAAGGATGAGGAACTAATTGAGAATTGAAGACAATGGGAGGGAAAAAAGGAAAATATCATGAATTATGTAGGCCTTAACTCATAGCTAATCTTCCAGGTTGGAATACATCCAGACAGGAGCACAGTAGAGGTAGAACAAAATAGGACTAAGGATAGAAAGAAACAGCTCAGATCAATCCAGAATGTAAATTTCAAAAAGGATCCTAATTTGCACTGAGCTCTGCATTTCCCTAGACAAGTATTTTCTTCTGATTCTCCATCTCTTCTCCAGGTTGAGGCATGCTTCTTACCTGGCAAGATAGGCCATTTCCTCCAAAGTGAAAGGCATAAGAACAGAGGTAAAATGGGCTTAGCCCCCTCGCCTTCTGAAAGCTCACTTGAAAGAGAGGGAAATCTCTTTGTCCCTAACTGGTTGCTCAGAGTTTGAGTTTCCTGGGCTTTGCTGCTCTCTTTCCTCTATCTAGATTGACAGTTTTAGGTTTAATTGATGAACTCTTTCATATCTGGACTTGGTGGGACGTCTTCTACCCCTCTACTACATTGTATGACATCTTTCCGCAGATCTTACTGAAAATTAAACACAAGGAGGCTGATTTAAAGCATTTACAAGCTCAATGCCAAGGAATTCAAACACGATACAGATATTCACAAAATGAACTGGAGGTCCTTAAGAAAAAACGTCTGGCTAATTTCTACAAGGTAGAATCAGGCTTTCTATTAACTATTTTTTCAGTTTCTCATTGGTCTAACTTTTGCCTAAATAATGTATTTTTATTCTCTGTTATGATTAAGAAAGCTTAAGTTACTTTTTTGTTTTTCTTTTTGAAAATCTACGTAGTGTTATTTAGCTGAGCTACAGATTTCAGTTTTAATTTTTGTAAGATTGTTTTTTATGGTACATTTCTTTGCTATGAACATGAAAAAAGAAACCATATTGGGATAGTCTTATAAGGTGTTAAAGTAAAAGTTAAGTTTACTTTGAATTGAATTTGACTCTTGGTAACTACATAAACTCCACCATGTTTGCCATTTCCTCTTCCTGAATGCTTTCCCAACTTTTCAGGCTGGCCCTCAGTCCTTGGGTTTGCAGGACGTCTCCTATCCAAGTATTAAACAGGACTGACCCTGCTTAGCTCTTTGAAGTCAGTTGCTGGCTGGCTGTTGCTACTTAGCCAGGCAAACGAAATGTGACTGCTACCCTTACTTTAACAGACTAATGGGAGGACGAGGTGTCCATTAAAGTGAAATGTCTGTAAATGAGAGGTTTTACCCACCTACTTGTCCCTGATTTTTCCATCCACTCCACAGCTGTCCTCATTGATCTGCCAGTGTAGTAGTATACTCCTGTTCAGCAGCTTTTGTTTGTTGAGTTCAAAGTCCACTAAACCAAGGTCTGTTAAATCAAGGGCTTATTAATAAATCAGAGCAGTTAGAATAACCGTCTATTAAATCTAAATTTTCCTAATGTTTATTTCTATTTAGGAAAAATCTATGCTGGAAAGTGAAATGGTAAATATACAGTCACAACATGCCATGCTGAATGAAGGAGTCTTACAAAGAACTGAAAAAATGAATGAGCTCCAAAAGAAAATTAATGAGGTATAAGTTTTCTGTTATAGCAGCATCTGGAATTGTCAGTGGCTAGCTTATAGCACTTGCTTAAGGTCTTTCTGTTCTAGTTAATAGATGATATTTTCAAATAAAGGATATTCTTAACTCTAAGAAGCGATTTTTATAGAATCTGTCCCTTGATGTGATCCTGTGCATTCCCTTAAAAAGCCTTGGCTGGAATTTTACACTGTCTCCAATTTAACTTGGCTTATGTTTTTGAAATAAAAAAAGTAACATTTGTTGGATTCCTAGCTGAAATTTTCAAATATTTTAAACAACGGATGGAATCCATGTAGTTCAATTACTTGTTTTTTTCCTGAAAAGAATATTAAAAATAAATGTTCCGTGTCAGTGTGAAACCAATATGGAATGGAATAATGTTACTTTCTGGATGAACACACTGAAAGTACTAAAGTACTAAATGCTTAGTGCACTTGAAGTGATATAAAACCACAAAGTGGAGTTTAAAATGCAGACAAACTTTAAAAATATTGTGTCTATCCTGCTTTGAGAATTTGTTGGGAATAGAATGGATCTCATCAAGCTTCATATCATTTTTCCCAATAATTTCAGTAAGAGTAAGTGGTACTCTAACAGCTTAGTAAATTGAAATTAATGTTTGTATAATATTGGAAGTTTGAGAAAGATGAAATGCCATAGAAGCCCAACCCATAATTCTTGTATTTGAGATAGCGAAAGACCACAGTGACTCTATCAGTGTAAGGACGGAAACATGTAATAGCAAGGTTATTCCGCTGTTCCTCTAATAGTTTCTACCTAGAACAGTTTTCTTATGGTGGTTATGTTCACATAACAAAGGACAAATTTTAAAATTCTAGCCTCTGTTCCATATTACATTATAAGAGAAAAGAAGAATTCTTCTTTTTAGAAAATATGTTTAATTCCTGTACTTTGGGGTGGGTGGATGGTTATATAATAGGTAGAAGACAATGTTTTTCATGAATTCTGTGAAGAAATTGGTGTAGAGAACATTCGTGTCTATGAAAAAGAACATATACAACAGCAAGAAGAAATTGATAGGAAGAGGTAAATATTCAGAATTGAAAAAATACTCATATTTAATAATTTCTTAAGTACAGTCTTTAATATCTTGCATAGCTGGGTAGGAAGAGGAAGTTGCTGCAAGGATAAAACATTTGTGTGAGTTGAAAAAGGTGGGGTATATGAAAGGAGAAATGGAGCTTGGGGAAAGAAGTAAAAGCAGTTAGTATCCTTGAGGGGTTGAATAGAACCATAGTTGAACTATCTGGAAAAATTTGCCATAAGAGCATCTATTATGCATGTAAAATATCCAGTATACCAAGATCTGCAGTATTTAAACATGTTATTATAAATTTTAAGAAACAATATACTGTAAGTGAATTTCCTGATTACACTGTTGTAGATTGCTTGCCTGGGAAACAAGTATCTCTATCCTCCCTAGTTGACAAAATAAATTATGTTTACCTTGTCTTCTTATTTTGCAACACTGTGTTTGGCTAGATCTGAGTTTGAAAACCAGAAGACAAGACTGAATGCTCAACTTGAGTTTATTAATAGTCTTGTAGAAAAGATGGTGAAGAAAAACAGTGTGCTGAAGGAGGATATTCACAAAGAAGAAGCAGAAATAATTCACCTGAAAAAGGTAACTAATAGTTTTATAATCACTTGAAATATATTCAAGTCAGTTAAAAATATAAAGGCACTTCTCCTTACTATAAATTAATAACCATTATAGAAACATCTATAGGGCTTTATTGTACTATAAATTAATAAACTGAGTAACCCAGCAAGGTTCTGTTTTAGTGCCAGTGGAACTGTAAAAATGTAAACCTTGTCATCCATCTCTACAATTTATCTTAATCAGAAATCTGTATATGTTTTTGCTGATCCATTATACAAAATTATATGAAATAACTCTGTTCATTTTTCTCAGATCAGCATAAGCATCTATATTGACTATTTTGCATTCCCTATAAAAGGAAGAGGAGAGTATATAGGTCTTGCAGTTTATGTTAGCCCCATCCAGCTAGTTCAAATAACAGGAATGGTGGGAGTTGTAATCTAACAATATCTGGAAGGCTTGAGGTGCCTCTGTCCCCTGTCTTTAGATTAGTAAGTGAACGTGTAACATAAATAGAAGCGTGATTTATGAATAAGTTACATATAGATGTAGATTATATATTGATAATTACAATTAAATACAGACATCCGTTATTGAAACTGTTGGGTAACATTTCATATAAATATATGCATGTTTGAGAAGCTCTTGTTGTTGTTCTTGCATTGGAGGCTGTGAGGGTCTGGATGGGGAAGAACGGGTTGCAGCTCAGCTCTGCCAAGACTGAGTGGTTATGGGTTCCCCAGATCTGGGAGTTGGAGGGTTTCCATCTTTGGCTCTTGATAGGGTGGCACTGTCCTATTCAGATTTGGTGCACAGTCAGGGTTCTTCTGGACTCACAGCTCCTACTCAAAGAGCAGGTGGCAGCTGTGGCCAGTGGCGTGTTTGCACAACTGTGTCTTGTATGCCGATTATGCCCATTCTTGGACTGGGAGGCCCTGCTCATGGTCACTCATGCCTTAGTCACACGCACACACACCCCCATTGGACTACTGTAGTATGCTGTACATGGGGCTGCCCTTGAAGACCATCTGGAACCTTCACTTGCTCCAGAATGCAGTGGTGTGGGTAGTTCTGGGCACATCTCGTTATGCACATATGACACCACGACTCTGCAAGCCACACTGACTCCCAACAGGCTTCCAGGTGCTGGTGATCACCTTTAAAGCCCCACATGGCATAGGACTGGTTACTTGAGGGACTGCCTTCTCCCAGGAGCATCTGCCCACTCACATCCTCCCACTGGCAGAACATGCTCCAGGTCCCTTCTTTTAAATCCTGTCATCTTATGGGATCTAGGAAGCATGCCTTTTCCATGGTTGCCCATGTTCTCTGGCACCACCTGTCTCCCCTTCCCCCCAATATATGACAGGCCCCCAACTCAGCTCACCTTTAGGAAAGCCGTTAGGACCCGGCTCTTCCCCCAGGCTTTAGGGGCCAGCTGAGTAGAGTCCCCTTTTGATTGTTTTGTTGTGGTGCTTGGTTGCCATTTTATATATTGTATTTTATAGAGCCAGTTGGGAGTATTGGTTAAGGCATCAGGCTAGAAACCAAGAGAACGTGAGTTCTAGTTCCACCTTAGGCACAAAGCCAGCTGGGTGACTTTGGGCCAATCCCTCTCTCTCAGCCCTGGGAAGGAGGAGGCAAGGGCAAACCACTTCTGAAAAACCTTGCCAAGAAAACTGGAGGGACTTGCCCAGGCAATCACTTGGAGTCAAAAACCGAGTCGAAGGCATACAAAAAAATTTATATTTATATATTGTATACGTTTTAATGTTATTTTTCCCGCGGTTTATTGTTTGTTTTCATGCTGTACACTGCCCAGAATCACATTGTTTGAGTTAAGCAGCCTTATAAATCTAGTTAATAAAAAAGTAAAAAATAAAAAGATAGCAACCCCCCCCCCCCAAAAAAAAGAGTTGATGGAAATGTAAAAATCTGGCAAAGATTTGTAACCATTCTACTCCTCTAAAACAAAAACCCCACTGACCTCTGAATCTTGCAAAGGTTTATAGTCTCATCAAATGAAGAGACCTCTAAAACCTATTAAATTACATTCCATTTTAATTCCTTTAGAAATTTAGCTGTATACTAAACTTTAATAAATGAGAAAAATTACACAATAATAAGCTTAATAAGCAAGAAGACCCACTTCTGTCCCAGGTTTTTCCTAGTAATGAAACCCATGAAAATTCTATTCTTTCAATAAAGCTAGTTTACAATCTGATGTCTTTTAAAAATTCACAGGCTGATGGTTCTGCACAAGATTTTCTTACCTGGAGGAATGCCTATAATAGAAATACATTTCAGATTTATTCTGTTAGATAGTAAGACAATAAACTAAATCACATATAGATCTTTTTGTTTGTATTTATTAGCAGCAAAGTTCTCCCAAACAAATGAAAATACCTATACAGTAATTAATTCATAATTACTGTAGAGATAAAACAGTTGGTTTATCTTATATGGTCTATGACAAATCAGTATTTTTTTGTTATATGGATTCCTTTCTTGTTGGTGTGGGTCTGATTTCTCATAGCCAATTCCAGTTTGCAATTCTTGGATTTAAGACTTAAAAAAAAATTCTGTAACACTTGGTTGTGTGAAGTATACCTAATCAGAGCCTTGGATCTGTTAATAATCATGGCAAAGTTACTAATTTTGATGATTGTTACCACTAGTCTGTACTTGCCATCCTTGATTAGATAATCTGGTTAAGAGGCAGTTTATCAACTGTGCATTTCTGTTAAAAAATGACAAATGTTTTTCCTATATAGGATGAAGAGAATTTTTTACAAATGGTAAATGAAGTTGTGGCAGAATTACAGCAGCTTCGGGAAAGGCAGAATATTAGCAAAACTGATGTTGCAAAAGCACAGAGTCAAGTTGAAGAATCAAGGAAGGCATTATTAACTCTAAATAGGTAACTGATTCTTGTTGGAAAGATAACTAATTTCACCTGTAATAGCCTTGTCAATCCTGAGTTACAAAACTCTCATGTTACGTTGAACTTCATGGGACTACAATAATAGACCTACCCGACCTTCTTTCATGTGACTGGGACAAACACCCACTTTTTGCCTTCATATTTTGCAGTTTCTCTTAAGATGAAGTCTAATGGTTTGGAAAATGCTTTAAAGTTTACCTGTCCACTAATTCAGCTTTCCTTATTTTTTTTTTCAATGATGCATATTTTACTGATTAAGGTATTTGGGGAGAGGAGAAGACTCAAACCTCTGGTGACCCCATCTTATCTGCTCCAGTCTGAAATCTCTTAGTAACCTTGACACAGCTTGCTCTCAAATCATTTGAGCCATTTACAATGTGCAGTCTTTTCATTTATAAAGGTTGCCATTTTAACAATATTAACGACTCCGTGGCAGGCAGTGAATTCTGGCATATCATACTTTCAGACAGACATAGTAGGCCTCTATTTTGACATCTTTCATCTCAAGTATATCTCACTCTAAACAAGATCTAATTCTTTCCATTTTCCTCTCCAACTAATGCTTAAGTTCAAGGCTGAACTTGATCCCTTTGGTATCTGGTTCAGCATAGCCCTTAACTTGCACCGCGTTCATTCTTCTGCAGGCTGCCAAAGCTCTGTGTTTTGAGGCCTCTCAGATGAGCCTTCCTGAATCTCTTAGCGATCAGTACCATACACATCTGTAAACCTCTCTTTAGGCACAGCAGAGTAAATTCCCATGCCTCCTTGCCTTAGCAGTAATCCCTCAAGCCCCTCCTGAATTAACAGAATCCTGGACTAATCTCTTGCAGGGCAAGGATCCTGGAGTTAAATATGCAAACTTTAACACTTGTCGTATCTTTAGTGTCCGATGGATCTCATTCTAAGTGATGTTGCTTTCTTTGTTACAGAATGACTTTGAATCTTAAGAGAAAATGCAAGGCATATATATGCATGTCTGTGTGCACTGTCACGCAACATGCCCTTGTAACACTTGAAGGGGGCATTTGCAAAGCTGTGTCTGCAGTGGATGCCTAGACATTCTTCCAGGGTTAACAGGCAGGCCCCTTTGGTATTTCGTGTTGCCTTGAGTGTAACACAGCTCCATGGGCGAAATAATGCAGACTTTATGGGGTTACAATATTTAGCAGATGAGCAAAGCTATACTTCTGTGTCTTTAAGAAATAAGAATCACTTTGGTATAAAATATATTACTGTGTTCTGCACCATTAACATATATGCTGTACTGCTGCACATTTACTGTAAGCTGTTCTGGCTGCTGAAAAAACAGAAAGGTAGGGTAAACATTCAATAAATATAAACAAACAAATAAATATCCTCTTGGTATATAAATAGATAAACACCCTGAAAAAGTTTTAAACTCCAAATTAGACTATACGTTTTGGAGTTTTCAAACTTTTTCAGGCTGCAGAACCTTTTAGTTTAAAAACAAAAAACAACACCCTTATCTTTTTTTCCCCCCTTAGTGTCTCATGGAATCCTATGTGGGGTTCTGTGAACGCAGTTTGAAAAATCCTGGTTAGTTTATTTATCTCACTACTGGAATTGTCCAATGAGCAATAAATGTGCTGAATTTGGGGAGAAAGTGCTGAAGATCTAGAATGTTATATTACATTTAGTTAAATAATTTCTGGTGAAAAATTTAGTTGAAAAGTATTTCGAGATTGTTATGTTATCTTCCCTAGTCTTGCCTAAGGCTAACTGAATGTTACATGGAAAACCTCATCATAATTGTTTTTCAAGTTTGTTAGCAGAAATACCAATGTCACATTTTATTTGCTTTTGCTTTTTGATGGCAGAGGGTTAGCAACATTACAAAAGGAAGCAGGAGCTATTGAGACCTCTCTGGAACAGAAGAAATTAGAACGGCATAACAGGCTTCTTGAATGCAAGCTTCAGGATTTAAGGATAAGCCTTCTTTCGGGATCGCTGGATGACATTAGTGAAATTGAGGTACAGTAGCCTGCTTTGTGGCAGAATCATTAAGGAAATTTTAGATGTTGAGGATCTGCACATAATTGTGTAAGCCAATAAAACTTCATCAAACTAGATTTTTAGAAGAGCTTAGAAGGCGAATATCCAGAGCTTATTGCACAAATATGGAAGTTAAAGATGATTCGTTCTGCATCATATTTCCTTCAGTTCAAGAAAAAAAAATGTACATAATAAGGATATTTTAATCCCTCAAAAATTGGCTAGGTTCAAAGAAGTGAAACAGCGCTGCTCTTTTCTTTAACTTTTACATATTACTACTAACTGAACTGTTTGGTACAGCTGGAACCTGATACTGAAAGCACCCAAGTCACTGCTGATATCTATGAAAGAGAAGAGGCGATTCAGATGGACTATAGCAGCGTTAGAGGACAGTTAAAGGTAATATAATGTATATAGTTTCCACTTATAATTTTTGCATAAAGCTTTGGATTACTTTATTTTCCAGAAGCATATGACTTTGCATTATAGGTAAGGATCGAAACCTGCCATTTTTCCTGCTTTAAGATTTTAAGCTCTAAGAATTGCATGCCTTAATTTATTATACTGTATATAAACAGTATACATTTTCCCTTCAACTGAATATTGTGTTTAAAATGTGCAACATACTGCTGTTGTTTCTTCGGTGGCCCATGATGCCTAAAAAAAAAAATCAGTCAAGATGTGGGAAGTGGTATTTCAGTCAAGTATAATGTGATTTTTATCTAGGGCTTCATAGAATAAAACTTGACACTGCCTTTCAGTGAGTAAGTTCTGATTCAGTTTAAGGGTTCTTGTAGGTTACTTCAAATTTTTAAAGCAAGTGCATCAACTTACAGCCACACAGTTTCATATCTGGTTTGGTTTGGATTCCAAAAGTTGAACTTTACATAGTTGGAATCGGGTAGTTTCAATATCATGCCTATAAAAGATTATTACTGAGAGGTTTTAGTTCTCCAATGGGAAGGTATACTTGATTATGGAACAGTGAGTATAACAGAAGTGTTTGCAGGATGCAGTCCCAAAAAAGCAGGCAGCCATAACAATAGAATCGAAGCTCAGCCTGGTTTTTATGTGTATTGCGCATAAAAAATAGGCAGAGTTTCAATCACACCACTGTAGCCAGCATCTTGACTTTTTTTTGCCACATCCTGCAGACATCCCTGGGGTATAATGGATATTCAAATAATGCATTCTGATAAATAAAGGGTATGTCTTTCAAAAGGCACACTTCAACAGCCACACTGTAATTTGTGTTCTTTTTCCATCTTCAAAATTTTACATTATTTTATCATATTAATGCTATAGCTGTTTGTAGATCTCCTCCAAACTACTCTTTACCTTTTGAGACTTCAAATAGTCCTTAATAGTTCAGAAATATTTCTTGGTTGTTGTCATCACTAATTTTTTCATTTTACAATTAGGATTTGCAATCTGACAAAGAGATTGAGACTCACTTAGAACAACTTCAGCAAGAAATCGCATGTAAAGAAAATGTTTTGTTAAAAACAACAGCACCAAATCTGAAAGCACTGGAGAAGCTGCATATTGTTACAGGCAGATTCCAAGAATCTGTCAATGGTAATTAATGCTAAACCTTTTCTCATTAATTACTCCCTTTCCTGGATCAGGATGCCCTTTGAACAGTCACTCACGCCCTTGTTATCTCTCAGATAGACTACTGCAG